ATCTCATTTTTAAATAATTTTCTACATCATCCCACATTTTTCTTACATACTTTCACCCATTCCAACTAAAGATCCGAAATTGAAGGAAAAAATAAAAAGTAACCCGCCTGTAGAATAAATAATGTCTTTAGATAAATGAGAGAGTAAAATCAATCATTTTTTCCCTAGAGAGATTTGTGATAACTTTTATGTAGAAAGGAGATATATTTATAGTGGTTATGCTTTCGGCTTACGGAGCATCGGAGGACCGATCCATTTAATTAAGGGATTTTTTTAGTTGATTACATTAACATATTTTAAGTTGTATTTATCTCTTATAATTGTGGGATAATCGGTTTATCAATTTCGGTGAGAAGAACTGGACGAATGTAGACGTGAATATGAATACCTTAATTATGTAAAAGGATAACAAATAAAAAATAATGATAACAATATTAATCTTATTTAATATATACCTTATTCAACCTTATTATGTTCGATCATAATCATATATTCTACAATACAAATTAAGTTTAAATTATGAATTGATATTAATTTTGAAAATGTGAGATTATCTTGATATTGTTATCTTATTTTTAAATAGAAAACCACTAATTAAAATTTAACTCAATACATAGTAAAGTTATGAATTAATAGTTTTACTAATATATTTTAATTGTTTAATGAAGGACTAATCATCAAGTGACACGTGTTAATGAATCAATTGGAGGGCAATTGGATGACACATCATCACTTCATCATCATAGGATTTATTTTTTTTCGATTCAAAGTATTCTGAAATTGAAATTGTATTTACTGTCGAGATAAAAAAACAAATTATGTAGGTATAGTTCGAAACTTTTTAAGACATGTAATTTTTTTTATTTTTTTGACAATTCTAATATATAAGTCAAAAAGGTAACTAAACGTAAATGGTTTTTTTTTTATCAATTTATTTTCCATTTCTATTATTACTAATCTTTATATTTTTAAAATTTTTTAATATAATACTAGGGGGCACGCGTGTAGCGCGTATCAATTATAACTAGTTTAAACTAATGGTTTGTGTTTTCTCTTTTGCACGAATAGGCTATACACAGCTACACACACTTATGCCATGAATAGGCTAAATGGTTGACTTATATAAACATAGACATTTGTTGCAAAGTATACATCAAAGCCATAATATCACCAATTAAGCTCTCCTTAAGCTTCTCTTAGCCACCCACCTACTACTCCATCTTCCTTCTCTCCAACATGTCCGACCGACGATAATGATTTTGATTATGATCACTTTAGCAATATTTACAATTATCAAAGGCCACGTTCGGATAAAGATACATACTATCCAAATGAATGGGATCCTTCGACGCCCTCTCCTTTAAGATCAACACGCTAAATAATATAAATACTTAAAGTGTCAAAGCTCAAAAGAGAATTTTTCTTTATCACTCGTTTGAAACTGGAAAAGGAAGGTTCTCTAATGGAAGAGACTAGGAGAAAGGAGGATTATTAGGGCTAATTATGGAGAAACTGAATCTCCTCTATTTTTTACTTGTGTCCCTGGCCTTGGATTTTGGCTCTTTTTTGCTAGTTTTATGAAATATTTGTCCTTCCTAAATTTTTACTCTTGAAATTGTTTCCTTGAATTCAAGTTACATTATTTGTAAAGAGTGGGTAAATATAGGGAAACATGTGATTTTCTTGAATGACGTTAATGGCGAGGCATACTCACGTGCATATGCTATTAAAGATTGACTCGACTTATTGTGCTAGTTGAATGGCACGATAACTAAGTATGTGCACAACTTCGAAGGTCAAAACAGATTGTTGAAACTTCCATGTCCTAATACAAGGCAGGGTGCAATTATGTCTTAGTTTATAACATAGTTGTTTCAGCAATTTTTTTTACTAATAGTGTTATTAGTTATTTCAATTTTTCCTATGAATCGGTATTATTTTTGGTTTTTTCCAAATTGGTTTTTCTCCTTCTCCAAATTTGGTTGACAGTGACAACATTATACATAAAGACATGATGAGTTGGCCAATTAATTTATTCTCTTTTTTTTTTTTTGCTCGATAAGATTGGTAGTTAATGTCAACATAAAGATCACCAACCAACGGATTTAGGATGGAACCAGTGCGGGTCCCCATCCTAAATCATAGTATATATGCCCACTAATTTTCTGAAAATCAAATTTTTAATCATCAACTTTTGTGTATTTGTAATAGCTTGCTTAATATTTGTTTTTATTCACTTTACTTTCTTTCAACTGTGTGGTAATGCGATTAAAATATTCGAAAATCAAACTGAAGCTATGTTAATTTAGATCACATATTATTTAAAACATTAGAAAGAGTTAAAATTTATTTTTAATTGTAACTATGATACATATGAACACATTCATGAATTAGATTTGATAATGACTTTTTGGGCACTAAAGACACAGTATCCTAGAAAAAAATAGTTACAACTAGGCAAGAGTTAATTAGTTTTGATTTTGTGTGTTGATGTCTCTACTATGAGCCACAAACATGCTGGAAAATTGTTTGCATATGCAAAATCTTAAAATGAAGCGCCTAGGTCCTGAATTTTGATGTGAGACTAATAAATAAACATTGTTAAAAAATAAAGATCCTGAATTTGATGTGAGATTGATAAATTAAATAGTATTGGAGACGAAATATTGTTAAATAAGTGTTATATTTTTTAACAATGTTTCGACCCCACAACCGTTTTGTCCTAGATCTGCTACTGCAACCAAAGACCTTGCGGTTGCTGCCGTACCCCCGCCCCGTTTGACTACCTAAACTACCCAATGGAGACATTTACAAATTCGTAGTTGTTGCACTGTCTATAATCTTCCAACCCCTATTTTCTCTTTACGGCTCGCATCACATCTCTACTCTCTTAACAAAATAACCTTCAAAATTTTCATTATATGGCTGCTTTTCTGTCCACCATCATCATAGTGAATGTAGTTATATATATAGTCGAAAAACTCGATAACAAGCTTTAGGCTTCTGAATACGTAGAGGAAGGACGAGATCCAAAGACACTGCCTTATGGCCATTCATGGAGGTAAAAATGGCACAAGCACTGTGCCGGTCCGCCTGGCTCCCTCCGCCAACAACTCCTAGATGTTGAAACTGGCCGGAGTCGTCACAACAGTCGTCGGAATTCATGGACTTGAGTGCACTGGAATTCCTTAATCCCGACAAAAAAAAAAGAATGAAGAGATTTCATAGCTCTATATTTTTTCTTCAATTGTTGTTGAGTTTGATTGAATATATGAATTGTGGTTGGTATTTGAATTTGGGTGCTGATGTGAGAAAAAGTAGAGGAGTTCCTTTGCCGTTACGTAGAGGTATATCCGGTTGTTTAATTCAAAATATGGTTAAATTTGACAAAAAATAAAATATTCTATAGTTAAGTTGGACAATAATTATGGAACGGACGGAGTATCACTCAACCGTTTGACTTTATGATTTTTCCAAAAGCTTTTCTTTTTTTCTATCGTTATTTTTATTTTTATTTTTTTTTGTATTTCCATGTATCTACCGTGATTACTTCAAGACATTAAATAATATACATGTAGAATAATTTCACTAATTTGTTTATGAAATAAATATTGGCAGTGCTTTGCAACTGAATTCTAAAAACATGGAATTACGATTGATTCGACATTTCAATTACTGTCTTAAGTTAGTTTATCAGGCACCAACAAGCAACTTGAAAAGTACATAATCTTTAATTATATGTCTAATGCACTCCGTCGAGATGTTTACGACTCGCACCACATAACTTCTCTCTTAGTAAAACAACCTGCAAAAAATCTTGGTTATAGGGGTACTACTTTATCAATGGCGACAAAGAAGCCATTTGTGATTCTTGTACTACTAGTGCTGTTGATGATGATCAATGGAAGAACTGGTGCAAGCCAACAAGATTGCTCAACTCACTGTCAATCTTATGTGAACAGATGTATATATGATTGTACGGAAAACGGCGTAAATCAAACTTCAGACCCGGATTATTGCCTGAATTCCTGCGGAACACAAAAACCACCTTGTCTCACTGGGTGCGCGAAAGCCGATCAACCCGACTGCGTCTCCACAATCTGCGCAGATTTACTCGTTGGCTATTGCAACGACAAGATTTCCAAATGCAGTGCTGACTGTGACAGACAGAGAGAAGATTGTGATCTCACGTCTGACTCCGCCAAGGTTACCAGCGTTTGTCCAACCGTTGGTTGTGCTTCTCTCCGCGAGTCTTGTTTAGCGTACTGTCCGACAATTCCTCCTCCAGGTGATGGAGATGAAACTAGGGGTGGGCACGGTTTAACCGAATTCGAAAACCGTCTGCATAAAACCATATCTGAATCATTCGGTCCAGTTAAAAATGGTTATCTGTTCGGATTTTTAACCGAACCGTTTCTAGAAAATAAGTGAATGGTGCGGTTATCATATTCATATTTTTATTTCGGTTAACCGGATCGAAATCCGAGGTTTGGTTTGGTTTGGTGCGGTTAACCGAATAACTGCACATAACACGTGTACAAATTGATATAAAATAATATATCAACTATTATTTTGTACAGTAAATTCATAGTTTAATTTTACATATTTAATATATGTATATATATATATATATATATATATTTGGTGAAAAGTGTAAACATTGCATTAACTTTTAAAATATAGAGTTTAAGTACAAGCTTCCTACGAAAATTATCTTATTGACACCCTATTTACATACCAACACAGTCTATCCACTATTGAAACATATTGTCCAAAATGCATTGCTCTATTCTTGAGGTTTTCCTTCTGTAGCACATTTGCACCCTGATCTTCACGTTTCTTTGAATCTCCTGGAACAGCAAGTCGACAGCTCTGCTCTGATTTCTGAATATTCTAGCATTCCTTTCCTCCCATATGCTATAAATGCCTGCAATAAACACATCATAGAGAATCCGCTTCTTCAACTTTGTTGACTTCCATGTATACATGATCTCCTTCTGTCATTTACTTATCTGCACAGACAATCTTCTAAGACCTAGCCATGCTTTAATCTTGCTAAGTAAGTCCTTAGAAAACTTACAACAGAAGAATAGATGGTCAAGTGATTCTTCCTGTTGTTCACATAAACAACATAGTGGGTCTTGTACAGGGATATTCAAATGGCTTAACCTGTCTTTGGTCCAGACTCTTCCCTTCCAAACTAGCCAAGCAATAAATGAATGCTTGGGAATATTAAGTCTGGACCAGATCACAGGTGCAGCAGAAAACTTTTCACCCTCCCTCTGAAGCCATTTATACCCCGAGCTGATGCTATATATTCCATTCTTGCTGAGTTTCCAGTTTCCCCCATTAAATCTTTCTTTCGCCTTATCTCGTAGCTTTACGATCTGCTTCCACGACCAGCTGCTATCTACTTTATTATCCACTTCCCAAATGCTTTTCCCCTTTAAGTATACTTCATGCATCCACCTCAGCCAGAGATTCTCTTTTTCATTTGCTAACCACCATACCTGTTTCAAAATGGCAGCCTCATTCCAAGTTCTTGCATCATAGATGCCTAACCCCCCTTCTTTCTTCTGTTTGCAAACAGTATCCCAGCCAACCAGTGCAGAGTATCTACCTGAATTTCTAACTCCCCATAAGAACTCTCTAACAATTTTATCCACCACAACCTGATATTCTACTTGATTCCATTTTTTCAAGGATAATGGAATTCCTAGATAACGCATAGGAAAGCTACCCTCCTTAAATCTTGTACTTTTACAAATTTCTGCTTTCAACGTCTCATTGGCTCCACTTATAAACACCTCAGATTTTGAAGGATTTGCTCTTAAGTCAGAGGTTTCTAAAAACTCCTTAAAAGCCATATTTATATATTCTATGGTAGGTATATCAGCCTGGCAGAACAACATTAAGTCGTCTGCGAAACATATATTCGACAGCTTCAAATTTCGGCATAGGGGGTGAAACTGGAAAACAGGGAGGTCTGCTGCTTCTTTAAGTAATCTTGTAAGATACTCCATCAACAAAATAAAGATTAAGGGGGAAATAGGATCCCCCTGTCTAAGACCTCTTTTACCCTTAAAAACCCCCACATTCGACCCATTTATACACAAGGAAAAGGAGGTTGTTCTTACACACTCCATTATCCATCCCGTAAACTTCCCAGGGAACCCATAACCATTCAGGCACTCTTCTACAAACTCCCAATCCACATTATCATAAGCTTTTTGGAAATCTATCTTCATCATACACCTACCACTTATCCCTTTCCTTCTATATAACCGAATTAATTCTTGCGTTATCAATACATTATGTAAGATCATTCTACCTTCTACAAAGGCACCCTGGTTCCCATCCACTAAAATAGGCAACACCTTCTTAATTCTATTACATAGCACTTTAGAGATCATTTCATATAGCACATTACAGCAGGCAATAGGCCTGTATTGACTAGCCTGGCATGCATTTTCTACTTTAGGAATTAAGGCAATTAATGTAGAGTTAATTTGTTTCAGCATCATACCATTTTTGAAGAACTCCTTAACAACTTCTGCCGTTTCATCTCCTATGCTGTTCCAGGTGGCTTTGAAGAAGTCGCTGCTGTAACCATCTGGCCCGGAGCTTTTGTTGATATTGATACTCCATAAAGCTCTTTTAATCTCATCTTTTGTAACAGGGGCTGTCAACTTCAACTGCACTTCCAGATCAAGTCTTGGGCCTCTCAAAAACACCTCCTGTCTTGTTGAGTTTCTGGTTGCTGTCTATCCCAGCTGAGTTTGAAAAAATTTGAGAAAGTGGTCCTCAACCTGCTGCCAATCTCTGACTATTTCCCCCTTTTCATTCATAATTGACCAGATTCTATATCGCCTTGATTTCTGTTTTAGTTTGGAGTGAAAGAATCTGGTATTGTTATCTCCATCCCTGATCCAATCTTCTTTAATCTTCTGCCTCATAAAACCATCATACGCAACATATATGCTCATGTATTCCTTATAAGCTGCCCTTTCTTCCTGTTGTAAGCCTTCTTCATTAGGCTGCTGGATTAACTGTTGTTGTTTCTGCTCTAGGGTTGTCTGTGCATGCTGCAATTTGAGCTGAATATAGAGAAGCTCTTTTTATTCAGTGCTTTCAGTTCCTTTTTCAACATTTTCATCTTCTTGACCACTTGAAACAGCTTGGTTCCTCTCATTCTTCTCCTCCATGTGTTTTCAACTACTTCTCTGAAAGTTGGGTCTAGTTTCCACATATTAAAGTACTTAAAAGGCTTGGGTTGATGATTCACCTCCATTTCCAATTGAACCATCAGAGGGCAGTGATCTGATATCCCCTCTGTTAGTACTATGGTAATAGAGTGATTATACTGCTCAACCCAGTCCCCATTCACCATTTTTCTGTCCAGCTTTGCATATATTCGAGCACTTCCAATTTGCTTGTTGCACCATGTATGAAGAGTGCCTTGCTGTTTTAAATCCTGCAATCCACATTCCTCAATGCAGTACTTGAGAGGTTCTGTATCTGAAAGTGCCACTGGAACACCCCCTATTTTCTCCTCCTGGGTAAACACACAGTTGAAATCACCACAAATCAGTCATGCCTTGTCTACTATTTTGCTTGTATCAATTAGAGCTTCCCACAGTTCTGTTCTTTCCTGCATATCATTACTGGCATAGATTCCGGTCATGAAAAATTCATCTCCACTCCTCTTTTTTATTACTTTACAGTGTACCAATTGCTCCGAACTCTTCAATACCTGGACCTCCACTGAATCATCCCAGACTAATATTATTCGACACTTGCTATCTTAACACTCATTTGTCCTGTACTGCCATAATGGAAACATAGTCTTCATAATTTCTTGTATCTTCTCTGGTTTCATTTTGATCTCTACTATGCATGCTAGGTTGATCCTGTTTATAGAAAGGACTCTATGGAGTTCCTTCCGTTTTATAGGGGCATTGAATCCCCTAATATTCCAAGTTAAAATCTTACACATTGATACCTGGATCAAGATCTGGTTCAATGACCATCTTCTCCTTGTTTTCACCACTGCTTTCCCCTTCAAATTCCTTTAAAAGCCTCTAAATATCTTCTTCTGATGATCTCCTTAAGATTGTGAAACTAGCAGGCTTTTTCCTCTATCCTGTCTATTCTGAGCTGCTTCCTGGCGTTTTCCGTCTTCTCTGGTGTCTTGTTTAGTTGTCTCCTTCCTGTTCTTTACCACTTTCCTCCATTCTGTGTCTTCCCCTTTCTTTTTTGTTGCAGGTTGAGGAGCTAAGGTAGCAGGTTGCTTATGCTTCCTACAGCTCATTATATCATGTCCATACCCATCATAGCTTTTGCACACTACTGGTTTCCATTCGTAATGGACTTTCTGATGCTGCACTACTCCCTTTTCATCCTCAAATAGCACCTCATCAGGAACTTCTTGCTTAATTTCCATGTCTATCAATACCCTAGCATAGTGCACCCTCTTCTTACTGTCTGTGAGATCATCCGTCATAATAGGTGTTCCTAGAATGCTAGCAATGCTACTCAATGAATCCGGATTCCAATATTTTAGTTCCAAGTTAGGAAATTGGACCCAAACAGGCACACTACTTACAGTTTTATAATTGATCCCTTCATCAACTGTCCATGGTTTAACAATAACGGGATGCCCATTTCCAAAATGGTATATATTCAATTTCAGAGCTTCTTCCCTAGCATGCATTGATTTAAATATAATTAGGAACAAACCAGTCGGCAAGAGTAGAACCTTATCAACTCCCAGGTGTCCCCAAAGGTGTCTGTAGAAGGCATTCATGACTCTGTACGGGGGATGAGCTCCTAAGACGTGGCTGATCACCGATGATGCCCAGTATTCTGCTTCCACTTCGACCTTTTGGGGACAGATTTTAGCCACTGAAACACCATTGATGACTTAGGGGGGCTTGAACTCTAGCTTGGCTCCATTCTTCCTCATACCACGAGCATCAAAATTCTCCCAAGCGTTGATCTTGTCCTCCTTCTCTGTTAGTTTCTTCACTGTTGACTCACCTTTCCTTGTTGATTCCGTCGTCATAACCTCTTGATTGCTCTCCTTTGATTGCCCTTTTTCCATCGATTGACCCAGATCCCCAATTTTCTTTTCTAGGGTTTTGCCCGGCGATTGATTGTTTCCACTCAAATTAAGCTCTTCCTGAGATACATCTACGTGGATTTTGCTTCTTTTTGGTGAGCTTTCGGCCCTGGTTTTCTTCCTCTAGGCATGGCGTAGTGTACGTTAGCAGTTTGCTAACGTGCACCGAGAGATGAAGAAGAGGAGACTTTCTCTTCGATGACTCGTTTACACATTTATTTAATATTAATAATATAATAATTTGTTGAATATCCTAAATAATAAACCACAGATCATCTACAAGTGAACGTAATAATAAAAATTATATGAAAAAGATCTAAAATATTCTATTAGTTTAATGTAACTTAGAGTCTTAGATTGTATTTGAAGTCGTTTGGACTTCATACATACACATTATATTATTTAAAATAATAAATTTAAAGAAGCGTAACAAACCTCTTACTACAAAATATACACTTAAAAAGAACATGCACATAGTATATATATATATATTATCGCTTCAACTTTGTACTGAAGATGCTTATTTAGAGAATTGTTAGAGTTACTGAAAATTTACCCGAGAACGTTCATTTATATTGACAAAAACTTATACGAGTACAAATTTGAAATCTCAATATGGATTATTTTTTAGGACAAAGGGAGAAATTTATATCTAACTAAATTACTTAAATATTACTTGTACAAATATACCGAAATGTTTAAATGGAGATATTTGTATTAAACTATTAGTTCTCACTTTATCAATTGGATGTAGATCAATAATTTGTTATGTAATGTCTTGTACATATGTGATTTGTATCATTATTAATTTGATCCAAAATTAACAAATATTTACAATTACACTATAATTTACATATTGACTTATGGAAGATTTTAACAAAAAAAATTTAACTAGTGCAATTGAAAATAATGTTTCTGCTAAAATGGTGATCGAACCAAAAAAACCAAGGCTATTTCGGTTATTCAATTTTGGTCAACCGTTTTATTCGGTTCGAATTTCGGACGGTTAAATTTCTCTTAAAAAAATAAATAAAAATCCGATTTATCCGGACCGAAAACCTCAATCACCAAACCGTGCCCACCATAGATGAAACTGCAAACAATCTCTACTACACGTGCTCTGCTGGTTGTAACAAGCCAAAACAATAAAAAGTCAAAATTCCATCAGGTATTTGAACTAAAGTTTTAATTTATATCTTAACGGGAGGGAGCAATGAAGTGTTGAACGAATCAAATGTCGTGTGTTGATCCAGCCTCTCGTCCTTGTTACCATTACGCTACTATTTCATTTCATGTCGTCTAGCTAATTCATCTTTGCTCATTGAGTGGCAGGGTTGAGCTATTAACCTTCCAACGTTATCTTATGAGAATCCAAAATAATGTTGCCAAATGCGGAAAACAATTACTAACCTTCCAACGTTCAGCAAACTAAACATTTCTTGTAGCTTTTTGTGACCATCTTTTATTCTCCTAAGCAATTTTAAGCACTCACCAAATGCACCAAACTTGAGAGCCGACTCCAGATCAAAACTCTTCCACTACCGTCTAAAAGAGAACAAATCTAATGTACAACATTCGCGACCACACACATGAATGTGCAGACACGCTAAAAAAAATACCAACAGCCAGCCGGTGGCGGCCATTCTTAGTGGTTCCCAGATTATCCAACTCATAATCGTTTTACACCTAAGCAAAAAGAATCAACATTCTAACCAAACCATTTCAAAAATCAGGTTTGGGTAGATCAAGTTCTCTCCTTTCTTTTACCTGTTACCGATGTGGTCTTGAAGTCGCAGATCTCGTCCGCATTATTTGTTCCAGCAAGTATGTCGGAGTTGCAACAACGCTCATTAAGACCATTGTGTTGGCAGTCTTCTGAAGGTTCCTTGCTAGTGGATCTGTCAGGCAAAGCATCAGAGGTTCTCGAACGATTAACACAGAGCCAAGTTCTCAAAGATTCATCGTCAACGTCACCAGCTAAGGGGACATGCCATGATCCGGTTCCTGATTCCTGAATTGCGAAATCTCAGGTAAATTCTCCAGCAAAACAAAAGGAACAAATGAAACTTAATAGGCCTCATTATGCAGAATTCAGAAGTAAATCAAGTCCTTAAGATACAGGGAGGAAGATCAATTAAACCTGACTTGTTTTTCGAATTTATATTCTTAGATCCAATGTATTTCAACACTAAGGTTCTTCATACTTTACCACCAAGAAATATACATAATGCGTCTACTGCCAAATGACAACCTCCATTCAGTTAATTAGAAGAGTAGCTACGAGGAATAAAAGTCATGGGCAGGTCTTGCACCATGCCGCCTAATTTGCATGTCTGTATTCATACATGCTTACTATGCAATAGCAACCCAATAACTTCTAGATGTTATTCTTCCTTAATCTAATTTCAACACACCCACTTGCCACTGCATTATGACATTCGCATTCCACAATAATTTTCAACTGTGATTCAGATATAGATCAGTAAAATAAACCAGGACATAATAATAAACACAGAAACTACTTTTATCGTCCTCTACACAATGGCTATAAGCTGTGTATATGCAATATGTAAAGCCAAAATCCAGCAACACAACAAATGAATACTGTTGGAAAGTTCAACTATACCTGGATAACAAGAGAGTATGGGGGTGGCATGACAAATGTTGGTTTTCCTTTCAAAAATGAATATTTCACCTGCAAACAATAGTCGCACATGTTAATTTTTTAAGTAAAAGATAACATATTCAACAATGAGTATCCAAAACTTGTGATAATCAAACTTCTCCAATGGGAAAAAGTAAAAAAATAAACATCCTGTATTTCGGCAGTAACTCTGCAAGTTGTATCCATCCAAATTTGCAATCTCAGTTGTGCGACGTGTAACTATTCCAATGGTGCAAGAGTTGTTTAGTCAACTTTAGCCCAGATGTTAGACGAACCCGAAAAAACTAAATTGGGTAAGTAGGAATGACAAAATACACTAAAAAAAAAAACATTTCTGTTGGAACAAAGAATTGTCGAGACATTGAAAGACAAAAATGAAACATAAATAAAAAATTCTAACCTGATGCCTTTCTTTCCATCGAAAGAAAAGACTGCTGCCCAGAAGCTCAAATATGTGGTCTCTCATCTCATCATTTGTCACAAGCATACACTCAAGCTTCACAGCAGCATAAAGCCAATACCTACAATTCAATTACGATATAACTATCATTTTCTTATAAATGAAGAGCTACCTCTAGGTGATGAAATTAACTATAACAACAAATATGGAGGATCTGTTAGTGCCGAATGTAGCATGCAACTACTTAAGCAACATGTGAACAAGGTATAGATGACTCATGAATAACAAAGAAATGAAAATCAGAAAACAACTTGAATGTCAAGCAAGAAGATGATAATAAGAGTAACAAAGGTTAGTAGAGATCACGAACCAGTCATCATTTGATCCATATGGAGTTCCATAAAGAACATCTTGATCTATCCAGTTCTGAACAGTCTCTCTACTTGAAGCATTCTCAAGGAGCCCTTTGACGCGTTTCTGATGCAAGATTACAAGAGGCCACTTCTTGTTCCTGGCGTAAAGTTCCCTCACAACGGCATCAAGCTGCTCTCTTGCAATTTTATAAACAAAGATGGGTTAGGTCACCAAGAAAAAAGAGACCCCAAATCATCCCCCCCCCCCAAAAAAAAAAAAAACTACCAAAAAGAAAAAAGACGTCAAGATTTAACAACCTGGGATATACTAAATCCACCATCTGCAAAATTCTGTTGATAAAGGCCCACATTTGCTCCATCCACTATAGCTTCATATTCAGCACATTCATCCATCCAGTCCTTGATTATTTTAGCAGAAAAAAAAAAGTTTAACATCATTTAGATGTCATTAAGCAGGTTTCGAGTATATATAAATGAATTTGGCTTATGTCCATAGAGAGAGAGAGAGAGAGAGAGATAGACCCCAAAAACCAGTACAGAAAAATTAGTTCTCAATAGAAAACTGATTTCCTGTTTGCCACTAGCTTACCTGAAACTCCTTGAAGTTGGATTGAACCTCTCTTTCCAGAGCCAAAGAAGCAATCGACTCTGCAAAATGCTCGGTCTCCGCTCTCTCGATATCAACACAGATCAACTGGCCTCCACAAGCACGACAAACTCCATCTGAGGTTACATTGGATTTCTGCACAACCCAATTCCCCTTTCCGAGCCATCCAAGTCCATGCCATCCACCTCCATTTCTTAACTTTGCTTCATTCACCTGATCCATATCCAGGTTCTCCAAACCCACCTTCGAGGCAAGCTCTGCACTAAACCAACTCTGCATAACATCTGCTGTTGACTCAGAAACTTGCCTGACAGCTGCCCTCAGTTTATGCATGTATTCATAAACCTTGTCACCTTTCCCCTTCTCCACATGTACCTTCAGAAACATTCAGGATGAGTAAAAAGAATAACTACTTCTATAATTAAAAAGCATTCGCAAGAGTTTCTCCATCAGCATTTAGATAATGAACGAGATAAACAAACCAAACCAGACACCACAAATATCTTATCAACTCTATAGCCCTTAATGATTGTGCTTCCAAACTCACTAAACCATGCTATCCTTTTCCTACCCTCTAACAAGTTACTGTTAAGGCCTGTATAGATAAAACGTTCATACCTAACTTTCAGAAGCAACATTATCCAAAATCCCCCTCGTGGTTTTACTCCTCAAAGAGAAAAAACAGAAGCAACACCAAGATGACTCTTTTCAACACTAAATAAATTACCAAATACTACCATACTTGAGCCACATTGTTTATTAATTGATCGGAACACAACTGAGCATGTGAGACTGAACATAAACATGCCCAACAAATTACAGCTAAATTCACTGATTACACATCGATTGCGCCCAAATAAATACAATAGTACCAACAAAAATGCAATTTCAATAAGATATGCATAAAATCAACACAATACATAAAAGGCACACATTGATTAAAAAACATAGAAGCTACCTTTAACAATGCAGCGAGCTCAGATTCCTCCAATCGCAAACCAAGAGATACGATATGCTCCTCCACTTGAACAGCTTTCTCATCCATCCCATTTCTACAATAACAAAACAGAGCAGAACTGTAGGTCCTCAATCTCCCTAGCCCTCCAACGCTTTTAGCAAGCTCAAACGCAGCATCCCCGTCATCTTTAGCAGCAGCAAGGCGGGCCACGGCGGTGACGGTTGCCTCACTGGGGGTAATATTTTTGGAGCGCATAAATTCAAAAACCCTGAACCCGAATTCGACGGCCGTGTGCCGTTGAGATTGATCCTGAGAGGTGACTGCATTGGAGCAGATATAGAGGAGCGAGTTAAAGTGCTGCTGGTTAAGGTGGATTTCGCCGTCACCGCTGGTGGCAGAATTGAAAAGCGTAATGGCGGTAGGGAGGTCTTTGGTTTTTGAACATTGCTCGAGGTTTAATCGGAATTGGGTTTCGGGGGTTGATTTTTTCTTCTTCCTGCTCTTCAATTCTCCGGCAACGGAGACATTAGCGTGCATGGTGTCGGTGGCGGTGGCGGTTGTCGTGGTGTTAACCGACGTTTTGGTCCTCTGCTTCTTTGTTGAGTTGAGCTAACTGCTAAACCACAGTTTTCAAACCCTCGGGTTTTTTAATAATACTACGAACCTAACCCGACCCGAAATTCGCTTTTGTAAATTAACAGAAAATGGCCTCATAATTTATAGTAAAACTTATAATTTTTAGTCCTCAATGAAAATTCCGTATTCTAGACTAGACGGAACATGATACAAATTCATTCCCTCCTCTTTTTCTCACATAGATGTTCAATTCCTTCAATTTTTTTTAATTAGTTTCTCATATCGAAAAAACATCTGCACTATCATTCAAAAACATGGCGGCATAATAATAGATTTTCAAAAAAATAAAATAAAATTAAAACCTGAGATCAAATCCGGACATGAAAATACAATAGTGATTAAAATATTTTTTGGGATACTTGCCTTCTTAAGAGGACCTATCTGATTCGAATCCGAATGGGTAATATTTTTAAAAGAAAAAAAATAAGAAAAGCATATTAATTCTCAAGTCTCCTTTCCCGGGAAATCCTGTGTTAATCGTAAGGATTAAAATACTGCCCCAATTTTGTGGGGTTAGGTTTGCCGGTCCTATAATACAATATATAAAGTCTATCTTATCAACCATCCTCGCTCGTTTAAGGGGGTAAATATATCGATCGGTTGTCACCGGAATAAATCGGTTGTTGCCAATTGTCGGCAATTCTCTTGATAAGAGCTATAGGTCGGCCGTGCGCAGTCCACGATTAGAAGACGATTGAAAAATCTAATACGGGATGAATAAATTTCTTAACTTGATGGGTGGTCTCCAACAGCAGATTGGAATATATCTCAAATCGTGTACAACTAAGGAAGATCGGATAAGTTAGCTTTCGGATGACATCGTTATATCTTGTCGTTTCTAACACTCAAAGAAACTGGCAGAACAAGTATTCTGTCAAAAAAATAGAAACATGTCTGGGTTTATGTTCCGAATCATGAGTTTACCCCATACACCACATTATGGGAGATGGGCTCTGAGGAGGAGTACTCGCACCGATTGAAAACCGTGGAAAGGCCCAAGTTTGTTAACTGGGTAAGGTGCTACAGAACCAACAAACCTTGGTTTTGAATACGTTCAGAATTTTTTATCATTTGTATGATTCTTCTGGGGCGGAATTGAATGAGTGGCTTTATTATGCCTCGGACAAGAGGGTTCAAATGTTGAAATTAGACCTCTCAGCCCATGGTTCTGGTTCTTTTCCTGCTAATGAGGATTATTTTTTCCATTCCGCAGTTTTGGAACGGAGAAGTTGTTGGAGCTCTCTCAAAGAGTTGATTTTCAGACATGTCCGAGTCTCCGGGAGCACTCTTGAACTCCTCCTACGCAACTGCAATCGTCTTCAAAGTTTGGTTGTGCGTAACTCTAATGACTTAACAGCTTTGCAAGTTTGTGATCTGTCTATCGCGTTACGACACTTGGAAATCAACTTTTGTCCATTGGAAACCCTTGTTATAAGCAATGTTAATCTTATTTCACTTAAGATTGGGTCACCAGGTGTTTTAGTGCTTAAGAATGTACCCAAGCTTGTTCATATAGACATCCTCTCTTGTAATTACAATATTGAGGATGTTATTCCACGGATTTGTTGCTGCTTTTCAAAGCTCGAGGTTCTTTCCTTAGTTCTGGATCCTGGTCGGGCTAGAGAGTTTGATTGGAAATTGCCTCATCTTCTCACAGTAAAGAATTTATCTTTAGTTCTTGTTTTAGCCCTAGAAGAGAGGATGTTAGGACTTACTTCGTTCTTTAGGGTATCGCCGAACTTGGAGAAGTTTTTAATAAAGACCATATACTCGTTGAGAATAAAGACCAGCAGAAAGGAAGAAGGGGTTGCAAATTACCTTGTTCCACATCTTCGGGTGGTTGAGCTGTCTGAGTATCGCGGCCGTTCGATTGAATTGCAACTGGTCAAGTACTTCCTCGAAAATGCAACTTCCCTCAATAAGATAATTGTTGATCTGTGTCATAGTTTGAAAATTTCTGGGCATCTTTGGGTCCCCCTTCACGAGGCACAAAGTTTAGCAGACACGGTAACAATTAAGGCTAGAAGGCGTGCGGAACATCAATTATTGGGAATAGTCCCTTCGCATTTCCTGCAAATACTTTAGCTCCGAACATGAGCGGATGGTATGGTCTTAGGAGGAAATAATTTCATCAAGAATCCAATCGTGCCTTAGTGGTTCGTGCTTCATATTCTAAACTATGAGATTGAGGGTTTTGATTCCCACTGCGAGCACGACAAGCAGCAATTCTATTGCGTTTGGAAATTTGAGGTCTTTCCCTATTAGTATCACTCTTTTTCTGGCTTTTCCCCATTATAATAGCCAATGTACTTTGTTTTTTTAAAAAAATGTTATCGTATTAAGCTTTGAATTGAAATTTAAGGTCAGCGGTTCGAGTTTGATTTACCCGTTGAGGGGATACACTTCCATGTTCTATAATATTCAAGTCAGATTCTCGTTTAAGTGGAACTTTAGTTGAGAACACTCTGTGATGGTAGTTGGAATGGAGCTTTTTTTTTCAGCTAAAATTATGCCTTTGTCCTAGAAAAAAGGGTTTTGATAAAGGCCTTTTTTTATAGAAGATTGAAACTCAAAAATCTGAAACTGGAATTGACTCATGTGTCTCTTACCAGTTCAGTGTAATTTCAACTCCGCATTATTCAAATAAGAATATTTGATTGTCCTATTTGCTTGCAAAACAAATTCAATTTATTATATCAAGTCATCCCGGTGTTAAACTGATGTTGCAGTTTCTCTTTGGCATAATCCAACATAATTAGTAATTACCCTATATCTAAGTTCTTAGGATGATGAAATAGACTGCATCTGTTCATCCTCCACGATGATGTCCTGTTGAAGTATGATTCTGTCACTGTTAGTATATTCATTCTTTTGCCCGGACGGCACATAGCTGAATGGCTTTTATTTTGTTTTTACTAGTGGAGATCCTTTGGTAACAGAGGGACAGTCAAGCTCTTCGCATGGTGAGACTCAATTCAACAATACATGAAAACCTACGGACCCCTCTTCCTAGGAAGTATGATTCTGGGACAAGTGCTACTTTGCAGCCTTCCTTATGTATAATTGGAAGATCTTGTGGTTTTTTGCTTTAATATTTCTCAACCATTTATTTTAAAGTAAGACATGAACTTGCAAATATTCTTTCCTCAGTAAACAGCGGAAACAATTGATTAAATGCTCAAGTAAACATTTCATAAACATGACTACCATTGCAAAAAAAAAAAAAAAAAAGAACAAAAAAACTGGTAGCCTGAAAGAATTTTTTTTTTTTTTTATGAAAACAACTCGAATCCGAAGCTATATCATACATTTGGTACAAATTTTCTTTACTAGTTACGTTTTAATTCCCTTATTTGACGGCCAACTATTTTATTCGAAATTAAAAACCAATAAAAGGAAGAAAAGGGAAATTAAAAATAACAAAACCAACTCCCCCTCCCCCCCAAAAAAAAAGAAAAATTCCATGTCTTAAGGTGGACCTCATGGAGTCATTTAAAAAAAAAAAGTACTCGTTTTTGCTTTCATAAACGAAAGCGAACACAAAAGCATGGCATTTGATTACATACATTTTAAAAGTGTTAATCTCCAAAACCTCTATCAATACACTCTACTAAATAGGAATCTAGCATGCCCAAGCAAGCATTGATTGAGAAAGTTCATCGCTCACGTACATACTACATACATACAATGGTTGTTGAAAAGTACATTATGTTTTCTGAGTTAAACCCACCAAAAATCACTATTACCAAATACTAAGGCAACATTATTGAAAAGTGAATTAGTTTTTTCAAGGTAGATCCACAAAATTCACCATGACAAAATTTAATACTCTGTAATTATTTAATTTGCAAAAGTAATCGTTCTTTTGGGTTGAAACATCCCAACTAATCCACAGGCCAGATTTAGTACTAATGGTAACCACAGTAATGGGCTAGGCTATTTCATTGCATAAGTCTGGTAACACTTGACCCCAAATTTCTGTCGACCATCAAACCCGAATAGCCATAATCTATTGGGGCGTTCAGACCAACCAGAAAGTGGGGTGCGTACGTGTCTCGACCGGGGGCCTCAGGGAGGTGGCTGGAAGGCAGAATCGGAGAAATTCAGAGGTGATCGGGGAAAATTAGGGTTTGAGATTGGGGAAAACGGAGAAGAGAGACGAAATTGAAAATTTCAGTTCTGATACAATATTTTTGATAATATGATTACAGCCCCTGGTAGACTTTTTATAGTCCACCTATTTCTAAAATTATACCCTAGTCTCTAAATTTTCTAATTCTTACAGTTAGGTCCAGGGACGTGACAAACCCCTCCCTTTAAAACAGTCTTGTCTCCAAGACTGTGGTCACTAAAATCGTACTCATTACAGAGGTGATCGGGGAAAATTAGGGTTTGAGATTGGGAAAAACGGAGAAGAGGGACGAAATTGAAAATTTAAGTTCTGATACAATATTTTCGATAATATGATTACAGCCCCTGGTAGACTTTTTATAGTCCACCTATTTCTAAAATTATACCTTAGTCCCTAAACTTTCTAATTCTTACAGTTAGGTCCAGGGACGTGACAAACCCCTCCCCTTAAAACAGTCTTGTCCCCAAGACTGTGATCACTAAAATCGTACTCATTACACTCCTGAACAAAAGAACTACACAACTACTAAAAGATAGCAACAAGGAAACAAAAACTAAACACTAAGCAACTAGAAGACAAAACAAGAACTAAAACAAATGCATGAAATGTTGGCATTCATCAACTTGTAGACATTTTTTTGGAACTGAAGAACCACAGTCATTTGACCCTTCCCCTCGGAAGCTGTACCAAGCGATCATCCACACAAAAGTTGAGTCATCGATGAATATCACAGGCTCCTTCTTATCTTCATGAAGAGTCATTCCGCCTCGAAAGCACGTGGCTGTTTGAACCCAAGCTTTCATTTCCAAGGACTCAGCTACATCAAGCATTTCTCCCAGCAGAACCATTTTGAATTCCTTCACGTTTATAGTGGTTAACAAACAACCACAACAATCCAGAATTTTGGAGTCAGTACTACCTTTGAAGTTTGTTGCTATGACTTCCCAGGATAAAAGAAAATCATTCAGGCAGTCCACTTGAAATTCCAGAAGTTTCAACTCCATGAAAAAGAGTTCCCACTTACACAGATTCATTTCTGCTTTTATCCCATCATCACTCTTCATCATTCCTCTAAGCAGCTTCTCAACTAGGTAAAAAGGCTTCTTCGTTGCAAATAAAATTCTCCCCTGGTTCTTATACCTTAGATAAACCTTGAGGATATCCCACAAAAATGATAAAATTGTAGCCACAAATGAGAGCCAGTATATACACTTTTGCATCCTTACTTTTGCTGCTAACTGAATTTTCAGCACTAGCAAACATATTGAATCCACCAGAATCAACAGCCTCACATAAACACATTGCTTCAATATTAACTACTGAATCTATTTCTGGTTCATACTGCATAAGGTTATTTCTATCTAGTTTTAAATCCTTGTTCTCATTTCCAACAGTAATAATACAAGGAGAATTCACATGTATCACAATGGTACCCCCCCTAAAACTGGAGACACTTTCAGACCAGGATTTATACCATCTTCTTGTACAAAAATATCGAATAAAACCAAGATTTCTAAATGCACAAGAATCACTTTTAGACAAAACATTATCACTAGGCCCACAACAACAGCAACAGTATCAGAAATACCATTATAAGCAGCAAAAAAGCAAACCCAATAAAACTTCTTCAAGAAAAACACTTGCTTCATTTTGCAATTTTCAGAGGTATTAAGCAATCCAACTTCTCTAACAGCATATTGATGATTCCCAAATAAATCGAGATAAAAGACTCTACTAAATGCTACTGTTTCCAATTCAGACGCAGTAGTTTCACCCTTAAAACAAGTAGTTCTTTCAACCCAATTCAACCATTTAGCAAGATTCACTGAACCTGTATTACTATCGTGATTCAAGTTAACTTCAGTAAACAAGGGAAATTCACACATGATATTTTGAAAGAGCAGCTTCAAAGTATCATTCAAATACCCAACTTTAGCTACAGCTTCATTAACATTAGACCTAGCAACTCGTATCTCCTTAATTTCAGCTTTGTCCTCAAGGCTACAAGAAGGATAAAACCACGATCTGCACAGTCTGCTTGTAAATTTGTGCTAATATTCAGCATTTGAAAAGCATGAATGGGATGAACCAGCATGCTCACTTCCTCTGTAATTATCCTCAGCCAAATCCAATATTCTAGTAACTAGGTAATAACCAACATTGTCACCAGGGTCAAAAACAAAGGAGCTTACGCAAATGTTTTGACTGCAAAGGCTTTGCAAATCAATATTTGAATCAACAAATAATTAAATACGCTTATCATTGTAATGCATACTTTTAACAGGACATTCATTTCCCCCCGGGTCAATATGAAAAGCAGTGGTCTCAACCCATTTCAAACATTTATAATCATCTACTAACCCCTTAGCACTATAAAGACCCCTTAATCCTCCCTGATCAATTTCTGGTAGCCAGCAGTTATAGCTGCTAATCAACAGATTCAAAAACTCGTACGAATCAGCATTAAGATCAAATAAGAAATGAAGATCAAATGTGGATTTACGACTCAGATTCAGAACAACTCTTTCAGCCATCGAACTCAGGTTTGCAGCAAAGACCTTCATTGCATTACCATAACCAAATTGAGAAACACTTCCCAGATTCAATATTTCCAAATCGCAGACAAAATCGTCCCACAGAAAACTAGAGTTATCATCACATGGTACCACAACAGCAACAACTGCACTCATTTCGGATTGTTTTATACTTAAACCAGTAGTCTCACGGCCATAAGGAATCAAACCAGTAACACTACCACACACAGCCAAAACATCAACATCGACAGGACCTTCTAATCCCCCCGGATCAACATGAAATGACAATTCATCAAGCACAGGATAATTAACATATTTCCAGCTCTTGACAACATTATACAAGCTCTTGATAATGGCTAATCCACCCAAACTTAATGCATTACTGTTCAGTTTCGTAAACAAACCAGTATTATTTTTAACTGAGCCATAAAAACTTATCGCAGGTACATCATAAATTCCACTCAAGACCACAAACTCAGCTATCGAATCATCATCCACATCAGTATTCACTATCACAGTAGTGTTTTCCATTTCAACAATTTCACACACACGTGCCGGTTCCCTTAAAACATTAGTAGAATCATCCACGTTCATTAAAACATCATCAACACTCGCAGTTTCATCATTTTGAGACAAGGAATTACCATTTTCATCCAATACCCCTATCTCAGAATTAGATCCCAGGGATGTCGCGGTTGTAATTTCGGCTGATTTCTCCTTTGACGGATGTAGGGAATCTCCGTCATCATCTTCTACAGCTGATATGCACCCGATACATTTCTCCATTGGCGATGCTTCCTAATAGCAAATTCGTGTGGTTGGCCGGATGTAATCACCAAAACGTTGCCCAACTGATCGGTGAATTTTTCCCAATCCTCCTATTGTGAAGCGCATTCCATACCACATAGGAACTGGAGAGGCTCATCGGCCACGTAAAAAGAGGCAGTGAAGAGTTTCTCATTAGGAGGAATTCGATTATAGAAGAAAAAGGGCTCTATACGGTCAAGCCACTCACTGACTTCTTCGCCTGTAAAAAGGAATATTCCGAATGGGGAAGGCTTGGGAAGACCAAACAGGGTCGGTTCTAAGGGGAAAACTTCGAACGGTGGAAGAGATAAAAGGGTTTCAGCCCTAGATCGGAAATCGCCGGAACTAATGAATTTCATTAACGAAACGACAAAATTAAAGGTTGGTGCGATATAGAGAATGAAGAAATCACACAGATTTTAGAACAAAGGGAGGAAGAAATAGGATTTCAGAGGTTAGAAGGTTGCGAAATAAGAAGGGGAAGAAGAGGATGAACGAATCGGTGATATCCGATATAGAGTCGGCCAAGAATCAGCCGGCTCTGATACCAAATGTCACGACTGGGGGCCTCAGGGAGGTGGCCAGAAGGCAGAATCAGAGAAATTCAGAGGTGATCAGGGAAAATTAGGGTTTGAGATTGGGGAAAACGGAGAAGAGAGACGAAACTGAAAATTTCAGTTCTGATACAATATTTTCGATAATATGATTACAACCCCTGATAGACTTTTTATAGTCCACCTATTTCTAAAATTATACCTTAGTCCCTAAACTTTTTAATTCTTACAGTTAGGTCCAAGGACGTGACAATATGCCCCAAAGGACAGTAAATGTACAACCCAATAATGGGTAAGTCCAATCACTTTGTTGCCTCCATTTGGATGACAAGTTCACGTTACTAAGCTCGGCAAACAATAGTAAGTTTTGTCATCTTAAATAGGGGAAAAATTATGAGTCGAGGCCGATGTGAAATTCACACTTAAAAACAGCTGGGGGTATTATGTATACTTATAGTTATATCCCGCCCTACCAAATCCTTTCAGTTACAAAGCAAATGTTTGATTATTAAACTAAATCAATAAAATAATTATGGTTGGTATTTTGGAACAGAGTATGGAAAATTCTCCTAAGTCTTAAGGGATGTTCACTAACCGAATACATACACGATGGACCATTGAAATTAAAAAAAAAAAAAATACTCTATCCGTTTCACAAAATGAGTCATGATTAATGTTTTGATCTTAATAAGTAATTTCTCTTGAGACCGGTGAGGGTATACCAAAACAAAATCTGCATACATACTTAACTATCATATGACAAACTAAGAGCTCTTTGAAGTTATATATATAAAAAAAAAAATGCATGGTGCAAGAATTTTTTGTTCCTTTTGTATTAAGTGGTTAATTTGTGCATATGGTGAGACATTTCTTGTGAGAATTTGGGAGTTGAAGACTGTAAAAGTGAGGGATCAAATTTTTCACTCAGTTGATATAATCCTCAATTCCGCAGCCACCACCAAATTTTTATTGTTCCAGCATAAATTAAATGGACTAATTGATCAACCGACTTGTTGTTACCATTTCATTCCCTAGTAGTATTACCCAGATTCTTTATGTCGAATTTAATCCCGCCTTTTTTATTAAAGAATAAAAAATTGGAATGGGAGAAAGGGAGTTCGTTACGAAATTGACATCATCCATCATGTCATAGGATAGGATGGACCTCATTTGTGACCGACCAATGAACAAAAACCAAACAGACCTTTTAAATCACCAAAACTTACTTTTCAAACGTACTACGTAGTATTCTTAACATACTAGTATCACCAAACCAACCAACTATTCCGGATATTGTCGGCATTTTTTTTTCCCTAAATGTAGAATCATTTAAAACGTGTAAATCGTGCTTTTAGAGGGTGTAATGCAAATGAAAAACACCACTAAATACATACATGGTCTAGGATGGATATCCCTATTGTCTTCTGATATGCTTACGAATCTCCGCATATATGAATGTAGTGCTGATTTAAACCTTGTAAATACATACGGTATATAAAGCATAATTTTTTAGTCAGATTGAATATCACATCAAATAAAAAATGATGAATTAAGATAACAAATTGAGTTGGGAAAAAAATTAAAAGATCCATTCCTTGTGTCTTTTACATTTTTGTTTTTGGTCTTTTACATTTTCAAATAATGCTATTTCTTGTCTTTAGTTTTTTTATGTTGCTACTCTTTTGATCCGCTACATACAAACACATACACCACAAAATAAAGGGAAAGAAAAGAAGGGTTTCTCAAATAATTCATCCTTGATTGGAAAAAAAAAAACTGATTAGACAATATAGAGAAATGAATTAAAGTGAAAAGCGATGACAATGTAGAAACTAATCCAAAAATTATTAATATGTCTGAACCAGAAAATTAAGATCGTACGCATCAGGATCGGTACCTTGAAGACGAATACTGCAAATAGGGTTTTTCTCAATGAGCTTAAGATCAACCTTATGCCCAAACATATCTCTGATGTTATGCACTCCATAACGTATCATTGTAGGCCTATCAAGTGAAAGACCCCAAGCAATCGCCCGGACATCTTCCGGAAACCCCATCGACCGCAACATCTCCGGCCTAAACATGCCGGAATTCCCAACCTCCACCCACTTCTTAAATCCTTCATGATAGCTAAAAATTTCCATGTTGGGCTCCATGTACGAATTAAAAGCCGGCTTGAAACGGAGCTTGGACGACATTCCCATACGAGAGAAGAACTCCTCAAGAACTCCGAGGAGATGACCTAGGGAAAGCCCTTTACCACAAATCACACCTTCAATCTGGTGAAACTCAGCGAGATGAGTCCTATCAACGGATTCATTCATGAAAAGTCGATCAACGGAATAGTACTTACTGATACTGTCAAAAGAAATTTGCTTCATCTGCGCAAGCTGATACAGCTTCTTCGCTATAACAGCTGTTGTGTGAGTCCTCAAGAGATTCTTGTTCGCTTCTTCTGGATCCAAATCATACCAATAACCTCGGGATCCGTACCCTCCGGTTTCGTGTACACACTTTACTCTTTTTCAAGATACTCTTCGTGTTCATGCAATGTTTTTGCTATGCTAGGGTTTTTTAGGAAGAAAGTATCGTGAGCATCGCGCGCGGGGTGTTGTTGAGGCTGAAAGAGGACGTCGAAATTCCAGAAACTGCTTTCGATGTAAGAATTTGCATTCGCCGGCATCTCCTCGAATCCCATCTATTGGAAGATCATCCCAACTTGACGCTTCACCTTATTCAAAGGATGAAGATGGCCACATTGAATGGTTGAACCATTAGCTTTGAAATTGTACTCTTTCAACACCAATTCCTTCCAGTTGGCTATATTCTCTCTTGTTAGATCAGTAGTAACTTTTTTCATAGTTGGAGTATACTTAGAACCCTTTCTAACATTGTAAACTACGGATCTCTTCAGCTCGACGAGCTTTTGGGTCGGTTCTAAGACCGGAAATATCCTCTAAATTCAAAGTCTCTCCATTTTGGATTCCGACTAGCAAACCCTTAACTCTATCTTCCTCAACGTTTGGAACTTTTCTTGAATTTTACCAATTTTCTTCACTTCCACCCATTTGTTCTTACAAGCCTGCTGGATACCAATCTCGAAAACAGAAAGGTCTAGCTTTCCCAGAATCTATTTTTCTGTAATCATTCCCTCAGGAAGTATAGCTAGAAAGAGTTGAACTTCTGGAGATCCCGATTCGGCGTAATTTTTCCCCTCGTCGGTTAACTCCCATCTGTCCTGATTTGTGAGCTTGAAATCGACGCGTTCGTGGGCTTTTAGACTCTTAATGATGTTCTCAAGTTCATCGTGGTTGATTTTATCCTCCTCGGCGAAAACCCTAGAATCCGATATCTCTTCGTTCTTTTCTAGGAACCCAAGAACTACCTGTTCCGTCATCACTACTAACGTTGAAATTTTTTAGCCGTAAGGAGACCCTAGTTTAATATATAAGGGAGAGATTGGTCCGATTCCTGGTAATGTATTTTTACTACTTAGATATGAGTCGGTTACAAACAAAGGAAAGTATGCGCCATGGTTAATTTTGAAAATAAATTTTAATAATCAAAATTCAAAAGTATAACAAAGTCAGCTTAAAAACAAAGAATTAAACTAAGCTCGCCTAGTTTCCAAAAATCTTAATCAAAATTTTCGAATTCTAATCAAGCTAAAACTAAAATTTTTAGTGATCTTAAGACTCTGGGTGAGTACGTACGTAAGAGGTCTAAGAATCGAATCCAACCAATGGAGTTCATTAATGCAAGCAAAATTTACATCCAGAAGAAAGCAAAGATGACGTTTTTACTTTTACTTTCGTGTTTTCGATATAGAAGCCCATGGGGTTCCACATATTGATATCAACTCTCTCCCATCACCGATGTGGGATACTCAACACTCCCCCACAAGCCCAACGTCTCTTCTTGGGTTGGGCTTGTCAGCCCAGTCACCGCCTCACGTCTCAGCCCTACTAGTTCTATAACATCAGACTTTGGAGTCCGACTTTTGGCGGGCTGGCTCTGATACCATATAGAAGCCTATGTGGTTCCACCTCAAAACCAATTGGCAATGAGGGGAGTAGTGATAATGGTTTGTTTGTTACATAAAAGCATCACAATTAACTCTGAAATTAGTAGAAATTAGGGGTATTTCCTAGTATTAGTGCATTTCTCTTAACTAGTCTTTGTGTTTTTATTAGGTTAGGACTCGATTGAACAATTGCTGAAAATTGAGGCCAAAGGAACAAATTGTGGGCTACTGATACAATTTTTTGCTGAGCTGGTCGAGAAAGTACCCCCCAAGACACAAAGCATCTTGTCATTAATGAGTATGTCTCTCATTTGAATTCCAAGGGGCATGCTTGTCTCTCAGCCGAAATTCCAGCCACCCATGCTGATCAATGAGGTTGCTGCTGCCACCGCTGGAAGAAGAGAAGAAGACCAGTCAATTCTGGATTCCAGACACAAGGCCTAGGAAGGATTAAACAATTCACAAGCATGGGAGGCTCTCTTGATTAAAGAACTGGCTGCAAGGCTCTATAAAAGAGGAAGCATCACTCTCAGAAGAAATCATCTCTCTGGCTACCCTTTCAGTTGCCAAAATACACAGAAAATTTCCAGAAGAAGGCAAGAAGGAAGAAGGAACAGCAACAACTCAGTAAGGTAGCCAAGTTGGAGAACAGCCATCCCAGTTTTTGCTTCATTTACACGAGTGAACTCCTTCACTCTCAGGAGTGGCTCAGAACTGCACAAGCTTTTTTCTCGTCTCTTGACTGTTAGCTTGAACTTCGTTTATTATGCATACTTCTATAATGTCTTTTGATGTAGTAGATGTAGCATTAATCTGCATGAGTAGTTAAGCAGTTTCCAGGGGTTAATCTCCTCAACCTATGTTGTAGCTGTTGTAATGCACTGGTTCTTTTCCTTGTTTTGAAGTTGAAGGTTTTTCTACATTCATTTACTTGATCACTAAATTGAATGCATGCTAGAACTAAGAGAGATCTGGAAGGATAAACTTGGTTTGGATTGTTTCAACTTTAACTTATGACATAGAGGTAACAGTCTATGGTTTTAACTAAGATAGGAATATACTTAGTTAACATGAGCATTCATAAAGCCTGGGATCTTAATGACTTTATAACTGAAATGAATCATTGGAAAATAGATTTTTAAGGTTACAAAGATGACCTTAGGAAAAATGGGAACTGACTTAGAGTTATAAGAGAGCTAAATGAACAAGAACTTGACCATTATAGTGCTAATTACACAACTACTGCATTAGGAAGAGGAGATGAACACCTCTGGCCTTCATTCCCCTGAGTGACTGTTTTCATTCCCCTGAATGACACCTTGTCTAACTGGTAGTCTTTTAACGACAAATTTGGTAATTAGCTGTCCTCATGGGATCGACCTAGCTTCCATTATCTAAAAAATCATAATCCAAGCTAGTAATATTTTTTTTGGTGAACTCGGCATGCACCAGAAAGTGGCGCCGTTGCCGGGGACGGCGTAAAACCTCCAAAAAAATTTGTTGTTTTTGTTTATTTGTAAATATATAAAATTCTTCTCTGGTTACCCCACTGAGCTTCAGTTTCTCTTCTTTAGTGTATGACTAGAAGACACCAACGAAGTGAGCCAGTTTTTGATCCAGAAATTGAAGCTACCATACGCAGAACTAGAGCAGCAAAAAGAAGGCAGAATCGGTTGCAACAGAACCGCCAAGAAGGTTCATCAGAAATGGCTAACCAAGGTGGTAACCCAGAAAATAATAGGAACCCTGGTGGGGATCAACAAAATCGACCAGAGAGATTGCTTAGAGATTTCTTTATTCCATAACAAGAAGAAGTCCAATCCCCTTTGGTGTTCCCTGATGTAGAAGCAACCAATTTTGAGCTGAAACCATAGATGATACAATGGACTCAATCAGCCTGCCCGTTCCATGGATTACCTCATGAAGATCCTAATGATCATATCTGAAGATTCCTGCGTTTATGCAGTACTTTTAAAATTCAAGGCTTATCTAATGACGACATTAGACTGAGGTTATTCCCTTTTACTCTGCAGGATCATGCCCAAGCATGGTTCAATACATTACCCAACAACTCTATCTACACTTGGGAAGAGTTAAGACAATGCTTCCTGACAAAATTCTTTCCACCTGCAAAACCGCACAACTCGTAATGAAGAATAATAAACTTCAAGCAAGCATGGAACGAAACACTCTATGAAGCATGGGAAAGATCAAGGAAATGGTCAGAAATGCCCTCGGCATGGTTTGGAAGAGCATCTCCAACCGAGCATCTTCTACAATGGGCTGCTACCAACTACAAGAGACTCCCTTGATGCTGCAGTGGGGTGTGTTCTTGATGAAGCCGGTTGATGCAAAGAAGGCGCTTGCTTGACAATATGACCACCAACCATTCAAGGTGGCAATCTGATCCAACGGCAAGTACAAAACAGCCAGGAGTGATGGAACTTGACCCCAGTACACACCTGCAAGCACAAATGGCTGTTATGATGAATGAAATGACAAAACTCAGGAGTGAGCTGTCCAAATCCAAGGCTGAGGTGTGTGTGTTATGTGATGGATCTCACAATTTAGACGACTGTCCCTCCAAAATGGAAGCTGTCCAGTTTGTCAGGCAGGGCAATGCTAGAGGATTCAACAACTTCAACAATTGGAGAAATCAACAGCAGCCTAACTGGAACAATGCACCACAACAAGGGAGCTATTAAAGGCCTACTCAACCCCCAGGATTTCACAGACAAGATGGACAGCCTCCCAACTATCAGAATCAACAACGTTCTAACCAACAATACATACCAAGGGAAGATGAATGGATTTCTGTGCAAAATGCAATCAAGAGTTTGGTGGTGTCTTGCAAAAGTTTGGAAAATCAGTTGGCCCAAATTGCAAATCAAAATGCCGAAAGACCATCTGGAAGCCTGCCCAGTGATACAGTTGTAAACCCCAAGGGGAATGACCAAGAGCAAGCAACACTCTCAGAAGTGGAAAGCAACTCAATCAGCCAAGTGAAAAAGTCACTCCCGTAAGTGACCCTGCAGGTAAGAATGAAACATTTTCTGAGAAAGTATCTGATGATGATGAGGTGGTTGAACAGGAGCAAGAAGCTGAAAAACCTGGAATGGAGGAAATTCAATTCCCAACACCAATTAAGGAACCACAACAGCCAGCTCCAATCCCACCATATCCGGTAAGATAAAAGAAGGTCAAAATAGATGAAGGGCTCAACAGGTTTATTCAAAACTTGGAAAGTATACATATTAATGTACCACTTGTTGATGCACTTAAACAAATACCTAAATACTTCAAGTACTTGAAAGATTTGGTGGCTAATAAACCAAAAGTGCACGACTCTGCTTTTATCACTCTAAATGAAGAATGTAGTGCAGCTATTCTGAGAAAATTGCCACCTAAACTAAAAGATCCGGGTAGTTTCACTCTTCCTTGTACGGTAGGAATCAAAGAATTTTCAAAAGCATTACTAGATCTTGGTGCAAGCATAAATCTCATGCCATTGTCTGTATTTAAATCACTTGATCTGGACAAATTTCTGGTACCTACTAACATGACCTTGCAGTTGGCAGATAGGTCACTGACCTACCCGAGGGGAATCTTACATGACGTTCTTGTGAAGGTTAGTAATTTCGTTTACCCAGTAGACTTTGTGGTTTTGGACATGGAAGAGGATAGGGATGTGTCCATAATCTTGGGGAGACCTTTTCTGGCAACAAGTGATGCAATCATTAAGGTAAAAAAGGGAGAAATCACACTGCACTTTGATGGAGAGAAGGTGACCTTCAACATCTTCAAAAATATGAGATATCCTGCTGAAGTCCATAACTGCTACATGGTAAAAAGTGTAGAAGTAGAAGAAGCAGTGATAGAAGAAATACTGCAAGATGATCTCCTCAAGGAGCTCTTATGCCCAGACAGTAATGAGGAACATGAAGGAGGGGATGAGTACAGGATCACTTGCCTGAGTTACCTGAACCACTCCCCCAAGTGGCATCCTAAACAATAACCCTTTGAACTGTTAGACCTGGCTAAGGAAGGAAGATGCCTCAAACCTTCAATTAAAGAACCACCTCATCTCGAACTTAATCCTCTGCCCTCACATTTACAGTATGCCTATATTGGAGCAAATAACACCTTACCTGTGATCATTTCTTCTATGCTTACAGGTACTGAAGAGGATAAACTGCTAAGAGTGCTGATGTTGCACAAGGAAGCCATTGGATGGTCAATTGTAGACATTAAGGGCATCAGTCCTTCCATATGTATGCACAAGATCCTACTTGAAGACGATGCCAAGCCAACCATTGAAGGACAAAGAAGGCTAAACCCAGTCATGAAGGAAGTGGTAAAAAAGGAGATTATCA